CTCGCGAGGGTCGGAAATACCATATTTCTCCACCATTCTGTTTTAAGGATGAATGTAAGGGGGAATCTATGAGTCTAAAAGGTGCAATAGTATTACCACGGCTGGAAGCATATACGTCCACTGTCAAAAAAAATTTCACGCCTTGAAGTTTTTCGAAAAATGATCAGCAGTCTCTAAAATGTCAAAAAACGAAGTTTACCCCTAGCTCCACCGCCATTGGATCGATTATAAAGCCTTTTCCAGCCGCCATCTTGAAATGTTCAACTGTTATTTGTATGTTGAGACTCGTTGAGTTGTCTCGTTGAAAAAATAAGTACCTACCTAGTTTTTCTGAAAAGCACTGTATAAAAGTTTTTTAAGAGGGATGCTTAATGATGCTTTCAGATTTCACCGTCTCCTAATTTGCTTGAAAATTTTTCATTTTCCTTCATCTCATTATAAAATCCTTTGATAAAAATTTTTTCTTAATATTTTGATGTACAATTGTCGCTCTCACCACAAAAAAATTGAGCCAAATCGCCACCCCAAGGCCGTGCCGTCTCCTTTTCTAGCCCTGTACGTGCTGGTTAATATGGTCAATAAAGAATTTGCTTATATTTTTTTGCAATTCTTTAAATGAACGATGTTATGATATATAGGGTGTTAATAAAGTATGTAAACAAACCTTATCCATCGAATCCTGGGTCAATTTGAAGACTAAATGTTCATATGAACACGAGTCCGTAACGGCTTTCTTTTCGAGCTAGAGCACTATCACTAATGAAGTACGAGTAATGTTCCAAATATTTATATAAATCTATGATAAATTTTGCATGTTTTACAAGTTGCTGAGGCTCAATATGAACGTGGATGAAAATAGTACTATCCTGTATTTTTAGAAAAAAAAATATTTAGAAGGTCAATAGTCAAAACAAATCGATGACATGCTATTTTTTCAAAAAATACTGGATAACACAATCCGTATCTAGAGAAGGTCTGAAAACAACTGTAAATCATGTGATATTCACCACAGGGCATACTTAATTAAAATAAAATACGTTCCATTCTTTTATAATTTTTTAGAATATCATCATTTCTTTTAGTGCTAATATGCTCCAGCTTGAAAACAAAGCGGACCCATGTTAATTATGGAAATTTCGTCTTCAAATTGACCAAGGATTCGATGGTTAAAGTTTGTCTACATAGTTTATTAACACCCTGTATATCACTGTTAAACATGTTTTAAGTTTTAGGCCATTTGATTAGCCTTTAACGTAGGACTCGTTAACACAGATCGGTTTAACTCAGTACGGTGTTATCTTTTATTTACGATGAAAAAATAAACACAATGTCTTAAGATAAAAGCACTGGATTTGATACATCTGCGTAATATAGACATATTTATAAGCTTGGTTCCGTATAGCGACATAGATATTGATTGATATTTACATAGAAGTCGGCGTATAACTTTGAATCTTGTTCCATTTGTGGAAGAATTACTATAAGTGATATTTGAACTAAACATAATCCAAGAATGCTCTTAAGATTGTTAATGGCCTACATCATATTTCTGAAGAATTATACTAAGTGACATATAAATCCGAACACCCAGTTTAAATGGTTTTATTTTAATAAAATTTTGTATAAGCACTTAATAAAGCATAATAAGTAAATGATAAAAATTTCAAAATGATTGCACTGCTTTAAAGCCCTTTGACATTTAATAATGTGTGGATGCACCCTGATGTGCTACGCATTCTCCAACGCGCCTAGGCATGCTTCTGATCAGGTGGTCAATGTCCTCCTGTGGTATCTCATTCCAGGCAACCACCAACTCCTCTCGAAGTGCTTCTAGAGTCTGAGGAGGACGTTGCAAATTGAGCAATCTCCTACCCATCATATCCCACACGTGCTCAATTGGGGATAAGTCGGGAGATCTTGGTGGCCATGGTAACAATGTGACATCATTATGTTGAAAGAAGTCTATTGTGACTCTTGCAACATGTGGTCGGGCATTATCTTGTTGGAAAGTTGGATCTGCCAGGGTGTCAAGATAGGGTAAAAGATGAGGTTCTAGAACTTCGTGGATATAACGCTGCGCGTTCATGTTACCTCTGATAAAGATTAAAGGTGACCTGGAACCATAACTCCAACAGTGTGATGAACATGTCTTTCAACAAAAAACTGTGGATTCCTCCTTTCACCACGTCGCCTTCTAACCCTGGCACGACCATCGTGCATGCCTAATCAAAATCGAGACTCGTCACTAAAGAGAATACTGTTCTATTCCTGATCCCAGAGTGACCGTTGTCTGCACCACTCAAGGCGATTACGTCGGTGTTCTCGAGTTAAAGGGAGGAGCCAGTGTGGCCGGTATGAAAACAAGCCAAAACTTCTCATTCTTCGGTAAACACTTCGCATGCCAATAGGTCTTCCGTGTTCTGCAAACCATTCATTTGCAATGGACCTGGTAGTGGAGAAACGGTCCCTTAAGACCAATAATCTTAGGCGGCGATCTTCACGGTCTGTTGTTCTACGACGGCGTCCAGTGCCCCCTGCTCTTTGCGTACGGCCTTCTCGAAGCCATGCCTGACAACACCTAACCACAGTGTCTACACTTCTTTGCACTCTAACTGCAATTGCCCGAAAAGAAAGTCCAGCTTCCCGAAGTCCCACTATACGGCCGCTATCAAACTCACTAAGTTGACGAAATCGTACAGGTCTCCGTACTCTAGGCATCGTAAACCGATCGTAAAGGATGTCAAGAATCAAAATCCGAAAAGGTTGATTCTTTACTGCGGCTGAAATATTCATTTTTAGAGCGTTAGTGAATTAAAAAAAAAGCAGTATAAAAACCGGAATGTCCAACTGATAAGGCTGAAAATTTTTTCACTTGTTATTTACAGTAAGATAAATACATTCAGCAACTTTTATTAAAATAAAACCATTTAAACTGGGTGTTCCGATTTATATGTCACTTAGTATATAAGGTTCTAAAAATATGTTGACAAAAGAGTACCTGTAACCATGCCCAAAAATTATCAGAAATTAGGAAAACAAAAACGAGTCGTCTGGCAATAATGAAATACTTTGAAGGTTTTCTAAGTTTGTCTACCGGTGTGAGCGGGAAGTGAAAAAGAAAACGTTTCGCTCTTGGCGTTTTTGTTGTATCAGGCTATTCCATCGCACATCTGGGTTAGATTAAGATGTACTTGATGTTCAACCTATTTGGATTATCTTCAATATATTCTATTTCCGATCTTGCTGGATTGTATGTAAAAAGGAACATTTATCATCAATATGTTAGCTTCACAAAGTACCTAAAATGATGACTTTTCTAGACAAATTTTTGATACTTTGTCAAATAATTGTATCTCGACCTTTATCCTTGATTCAGGGATTGAAATCGACAGCGTGGTGTGAGCCGGGGCGTTGTCGTGGTGCAACTTGTCGGACCCGACTGACCCTTCGTTTGAGTCTCCTGAACACTTCCACGTAAAACTTGGCGTTGACGGTTTGTCCAGGAGGAACAAATTCATGGTGGATGATGCCTTTGATGTCAAAAAAGACAATGAGCATCGTTTTCACTTTGGATTTGCTCATTCCTCCCTTTTTTGGGCGAGGAAACGCCGTCGTGTGCCACTCGGAAGATTGCCTCTTTGTCACGGATCATACTCAAAGATCCACGACTCGTCACCTGTAATTACGTTATTCAAAAATTGGGGGTCACTTTCACTCATGTTCAAAAAGGCCTGGTGCCACCGAAACACACCACTTCTTGCTAGAGCAACACCTGGGTGAGCCTGCTTGATCATATCAAACGTCTCTGTCGCAGATTTACCGAATTTCACACAGAATTTAATCGCGTACCTCTACTCTAACGAACGCTGAGAGAAAAAGAGAAAATGAGTCCTATTACTTTCCGGACAAACCCTGTACGTCTCGTAGTATTCATGTATCTTTTGGAGGCCCACAGGGCTCCCACTTAGGTCCGTTGTTATTTAACATACAGGGTGTTCATTTGACAACTTCCCACCACGAATTTATCGAAAAACACTGATTAAAAAAAGAAACGCCGAGACGTGTCAACAGATTTGTCAAGGGGGACAACTTTTTAACCAAAAAATACTTCACCTGCTTTCACCCTCTGCCCCCCAGGGTCATCCACTTGAAAATTTTAAACGACAAGGGGTATCGAGTAATAGTTTGTTTGTAAGGTATTTTGAGGTCGTTTATTTTGACCTTTGATTTTTTTAAATCGCGCGATTCGTTTTCAAGAAAATTAGAAAAATCTTTATTTATCTTAATTTGTTCAGATAGGAAACAAAAACACACGAAAATATAATTTGTTATTTCAATAAGTATTCAAGATTTTGCCCGTTATTGGCCAAACAATGATATAGGCGATGTTCCAATTCCTGACGGACATTTTCAAAAACATGTGGGATATCATGGCAGCTTTTGATGATGCGTTGACGAAGTTCATCCAAACTTTCAAATTGGGAAGTAAATACAACATATTTCAAATGGCCCCATAGAAAAAAGTCTAATGGCGTCAAATCAAGAGATCTAACAGGCCATTCTATAGGCCCTCTTCGCCCTATCCATTTATTTGGAAACTAGTCGTCTAGCCAGCCTCATCAAGTATAAAGTTTCGATCCTCTTCGATTTGGTTTTCAGTGACAAGCGGATTGATGGTAGGTATTTTCCAACATATCCAAACAAATGTCTCCATTCAAAATTAAATTAGTAAACAAACAAAACCCTCGATTATGGTCATATTTCAGCCAGTTTACACAAAACTTCTATGAATTCTGCACCTAAACCTTCCTCATGAATCACTCTGTCCTTTGTTGAAAACCGAATGAAAGTCCGTTTGATAGTGTTTAAGTATATCGCGTTCAAACATCCAGATACAGCGCGTAACTTTAATTTGTAGTGATGTAAGCTGAAGAAGATTCTAGGATGCCGTCAAGTACCTAGATGTTGAGAGGTTTTTGCAAATCTGTAATTATTTTAAGGTAACCTGGTGACTATTTTGGCACTAACTAGATGTCCAAAGCTTCGCATCCATGCCACTACGGCCTTTGTATTGTCTCTGTGCATCTCTGATTTGATATTTTGCTTGGTGAATCTACCACTGACTGCGTCCAGGTATATAAACGAGGCTTGGACATTTGGAGATGCACTTTGCCAGTTATTCCCAGTTTTGTTCTATGGGAATGTTGCTGTTTCTGTACTCAACATGGTTGCCATTACATTAAATAGGTAATTAGGTATTTTTAGGTATGATTTAAAAAATGCATGAGGCGGAGACCGTGAGAGAAATTTTACAACTTGATTTTCTCCGTGATGACATTTCCTAGATGCATTTTAGCATGAATGGCGGTGACCCGGTGCAAATTTACTTAAAATTTTCTTTATCAATGAACATTTTTTTCGCTCCACACTATGTTTTTGTTTTTTTAATCATTCTGACGAACAGGCCTTAGTAACTTGTCTCTTAAAGTTGACCGGCGCTTAGACCCATAGCCTTTTTCAGACGTTAAATCGATTATAAGTCGAAAACGATCAACTTTAGGAAAAGATTACTCGTGAATTTTTTATTCAGGATTATCGAAAAAAACTGAAAAAATGATATGTGGGGTAAAATAACTATATTTTTTTGTATTTGAAGTAAAAAAAATAAAATTTGCCTTTGATTCTTGATGATCAGGAAAAAATCGACATGGAAAATTTCTCACATGGATACCAGATTTTCATCACATCTAAATACATGGAGCTGAGGCTTGCGCTTACGGAATTAAGTTTTATGGTTTGTCGTTTTACTTGAAGGTATAATCACAAAAAAACAGGATATATAGGATATCTGATAATAAATTGGTAGAGGAAATTATATTCTTGGGGTGAATGAACAATCAACAATAATTTTAGTTATACATGATAAGATAGAAGATGCTACGTCGACTCATCATTCTTTTCAGTTATAAGGTAGACTCTATATTATATATATAGGTGAAAAATTAAAGCTTCCGCCGTTTGTTGGGTACTTCGACAAAATTTAAGCAAGGAGGACTCTTTATACTTTTTTTATTCTCTCTAGCTTTCAATGGTCTTTGCCATCATCATCAGGAGAGTTTTTAGAACACGAAAGCATTACATCGTGAAGCCACTTGATGATTTATATAATTTTGACCATTGTACCATTTATCCAGCTATCACCATGTTACTGGGTGTTTCCCTCATCCTGAACGTAAACAACAATTAGCAACATCCTCACATACTACCCTCCTGATGATGATGGCAAAGACCATTGAAAGCTAGAGAGAATAAAAAAAGTATAAAGAGTCCTCCTGGCTCAAATTTTGTCGAAGTACCCAACAAAAGGCGAAAGCTTTAATTTTTTCACCTAACTGGTCTAGACGATAATGACCAGGTCTATATATATATATATAACTTATATATATACAGGGTGTTCCTTAATGATATGCGAAAATTTAAGGGTGTGAATCTGCATGAAAAATAAATTTCAGTTTGCTTTATAAACTATGGTGCAAAAATGTTTCCTTACAAAAACTCGTGGTGTTGAAGTTTTAGAAAAAAACTGGAAATTAATTAATATTTTCAGAACCTCTTCAGATATTTCACTGATATTTTAGTACGTAGTGATATTTAATAAAGTTGCATATTTTTCAATGCAAAGTAATTTTTAGCTTTAACAGTGGTGTGCGTACGAGTATTGACTTCGATATTTTTTAAGAAAAAAATGGTACGCCAATGGTTTTTTGCCAAATAAAAATTATTTTTGAATTTCCGATTCAATTTAAAACAAATGATTTCTCTTGAATTGTTTTCCTTCGATGCACCATTTTTGAGTAAAAAAATAAAAACCGTTCTATCTGAAGGTAGACCTCTAAGTGTGAGAACACCTGAAATTGAGGAAGCAGTGCTGCACGAAGTCGAAGAACAACCTGAAACGTATTTATTGAACAGTTGGTATAACCTATGATAAATTTTGCATGTTTTACAAGTTGCTGAGGCTCAATATGAACGTTAATGAAAATAGTATTATCCTGTATTTTTGGAAAAAAAATATTTAGGTCTCAGCATTTTTGATCCTGCACAACCTGTAAACCAAACATGTCCCCCCTGGATTTTGCTATATGGGCGGTCATGAATATAAATTATCTACCCTACGCTTTGCAGTTTTGTTTCTACGATTTTTTAAAATCCGCATAAGTTTAATGGCCCACCCTGTACATGGATTTATCGCTATTGGCTTACGAGAAACCATGTATTTTTGCCCATCCGTCTTCTCAATTAACTTTATAAATCCAGTGTGACTCCTATGAGTAATACAAGTTAACAACGCCGCTGAATGTATACGACATCTGACATTTGATCTCTATTAATTATTACTGCCACATTTTATATCAAGAGGTCAGAGGAAGACAACTCGAACAACAAAGCACTATTTCTTCACTGGATATATGCCACTGAGGTTATTTTGTTTCCAAATCGGATTGAAGTATATTTTTTTATTGACATAGGAAAGTGCCCAAAATCCGGTCCTCATTCTGTTATTGATTAAAAAGATTAAAACTACTAACTGCTCGAAAAGCATAAAAAGTTTACTTCATAATATTGAACATAATTTTCGTTATGTGTTGTACGAATATATTAGTCATCAGGACCGGTTCGCCGGGCGGTGAGCTTAGATAACAGGAGTACGCGGATCTAAAACATTCCTCTGTCATTCTAAGTTTTAAAGACGAATCTACGGTTAAATATAACGTATGTCCTAAAAGTTTTGGCACAAAATATGTATCGGATTTTTTTTAATGAAGAAATTTATTTAAAAACTAACTAGTTATCATAAATTACCACTTAATACTTAACTAAACTATACTATCGAATTATGTGGAGTCGCCCATTCTGCTCTACGAGACGCAAGTTTCTTTGAATGTCTCTCACGAGGTCCTGGACGGAATTCAGATCAATTTCTCTCAGCTTTTCGTAAATTCGCTGTCTTAATTGTACTTCATTTTGGACTTCCCAGCTTTCATCATAAATATTCCTAGACAGTAAAGCCCAGAAATCCTCTATTGGGCGAGACTACGGCACGCTTGGAAGATTATCGTTTTTGGGAACAAAAGGTATGTTGAGCAATGGCATGATACTAGGTCTGGCCAAAACATGATATGGTCATTAGCACGATGTTTGTGGACATACTGAAGCAATTTGAAAAGGCAGTACTTTATATAGCTCTGACTATTCAAAGCTTCACCCCTCACTCTTCCCACAAAAGGTTGGGATACACCCCTGTTAGAAATTGCGCACCAGACAAGGATTTTATCCGCAAATTTCGCTTCTTTATGTGTGCATCTAACATTGTCAGGGCATTCCTCCACGTTATCCGTATAAAAACCGTCGTTTCCCTTCATTTCAGAATTACTCAAAGTGAAATACTTGTTATCTAAAGTAATGATGTTTCTATTGGCAAAGAGTACCCGCCTCAGTTGACGACAACATCTTGGTAAACGAAGGAGTTGGGCTTGAGAGTATTTGGGGCATTCAAGTCTGTTTCGATATGTAAGACCGTTGCTCCTCAATTCCAACGATATCTTACTCTCAGAAGATCTGTGTTGACCAGACAGTCTCCTTGTTGACATTGCAATATGATTTTGCTCTTCTCACCAATCTCTCTAACCTATGTGCAGTAAATGCACGTGGTCTTCCACTGTTTGGGAGATTCAAACATGGTATTCCCTGCTGGCTCTCCTCTGTTGTTCGATGCGTGAAATGTTTTCATTCTGGAATAGTCGACCGATTTCAGCTTTGGGTACCCGCCCAACCAACTTGTAGATACCTTTTGTCATTTCTAAAGCTAAAACTTCAAAATAAATAAATGTCAACTCACAGTTAAGTAAGTAAACAAATGTCTGTCTCCAAAGGCAACTTGATATTATTTCGTGTTTGTTAAAATTAAAGTCAATGAATTTTGTGCCAAAACTTTTAGGACATACGTTATACAGGGTGTTACTTAATGATATGCGAATATTTAAAGGTGTGAATCTACATGAAAAATTAATGTTAGTTTGCTTTATAAACTATGGTCCAAACATGATTCCTTACCAAAACTCGGGGTGTTGAAGCTTTAGGGGAAAAATGGAAATTAATTAATATTTTCAGAACCGCTTCAGATATTTCACTGATATTTAGTTCATAGTGAAAGTTAATGAAGTTGCATATTTTTCAATGCAAACATAATTTTTAGCTTTAACAGTGCCGTGCGTACGGGTATTGACGTTGATATTTTTTGAGACAAAAATGGTATGCCAATGGTTTTCGGCCAAATTATTATTGTTTTTGAATTCCCCCGTTCAATTTAAAACAAATGATCTCTCTTGAACTGTTTGCCTTCGATGCGCCATTTTTGAGTAAAAAAATAAAAACCGTTCTATTGTCCGAGAAAATTAATGTAATAATTGAAGAATGCAATTTAGCAATAAATATCTAGTTGCTCTGGAATATGTCACTGGCTTTTGACATCTGACAAGTCTCTGTTATTCAAATCTTTTCCCTGAGACATATTTTTTATTATTTAGTTTTTACAATCTTGTTAATAATGGTGAATTATTCAAATGCAGAAATGGCGGAAATGCATTACGTACATGGCCTTGCCGACGGTAATGGTGAGCAAGCCAGACGGATTTATCACCAGAGATATCCAGATCGTGCTTTGCCATATAGTCGAACCTTTTCTAATATTCATCGTCGTGTTCTTAAAACTGGTTCTGTCCGAAAAATAACATCTGAAGGTAGACCTCTAAGTGTGAGAACATCTGAAATTGAGGAAGCAGTGCGGCATGAAGTCGAGGAACATCCTGAAGAGTACGAGGAAGATCGCTAGACACTTAAATATTTGCCATCAAATTGTTTAGAGAATTTTACTGGATTTTTTGTTATATCCTTACCAAATTTTGAGAGTACACGCATCACTTCCCATTGATTTTCCAAGACGTGTGACCTTTTGTCAGCGGTATCTTCAAAAAATTACACAAAATCCGCAATTTGAATCAATGATTCTGTATATTTTTCTCGAAATGCCATTCAGAATGTCCACAATAATCATTTCTGGGCAGAAGAAAATCCATATGCCGTAACCGAAACCCATTTCCAACACCAATTTGCGGTTAACGTATGGGCAGGAATTATGGGCAACCACTTTATTGACCCATTCTTCTTGCCGGGACGACTTGACGGAC